CTTTCCCTTTTCCTCATTTTGGAAAAGGAGACTTGAATCTCCTTGTATTTGGAAAAAAAAAAAAAAAGGACAATCTTTTATGACTAGTTAATTTAGTTTGTTGTACATGATGAGATATAATAAAAGCTGTAATTTGTTACAATCAAAATTCGAATATAAGCTATATTTTGTTACAAACAGATCAAAAACATTCGCATTATATATAATATATATGTATATATTATATATAGATAAACATCATCATCATTGAGATGATTTCAAATAAAGGGGCTACCTTTCGACATAAAGTGGGGGCAAAGAGAGGAATTAAGTCATGTGCATTAAAAATTCTTCCAATCAAGCAGAGCATTCGAGACTGCATCAACTCATATTTCACATGTTTCACAATCAAGTAACTTTATATATAGCTTCTAGCAATATATATATATATATATATATATATAGTAACTGTATGTATAATAGTGTTACGTCTTAAACGTAAGGAAAAAGGAAAAGGAGTATTGCGGCTTGATAATCCACAATCTTCGTCTTAATTTATCTCCTAAATTCTATAACAGATTTCATGTTAAGTTTATGTTTTCGATCGATAAATTCTCACCGTACTTTAAGACATACTAATTTTCAATACAAGTATAGTTTGAGAATCTTAATTTCAACAATCTCCAAGCACAGCACGATGTTAGCAACGTATAAAAAAACGCACTAACATTTTAAAAGAAGAGAAAATCCTTAATTGCCAGACAGCTAGGTTAAAGTTATAAGATAAATACCCATAGTAGAAGGGTACAATGTGAGCTCGGGAGTTGACACCATCAGAAACAACGTCATTCCCGGGATTTAATGCAAAAAAGTTAAATTTAGAATTTGTTCAGTCTAGAATTAATTTCAAGACTTGAAATAGTTCAAGATATTACACGAGTGAGAATTTAATGTGATCTCAAAGCAGTCGAGGATTTAACAGTTGAACTGTAAATAAGCAGTAGAAAAGGAACCGTCAGAAATGGAAACGAATTCCTGTCGGCTAAGTTACTTCCTTATAGTCAGTATAATTTTTATCAATTTCAAAGGGAAACTTAAGAAAGTGGACAAGAGTACAATGGGGTATTTCTCCACTTGGCCAGCCATGCATAGAAAAATAGAGCAAAAAATTTGGCTAGTAGAGTGTGCTAGAAGATTTTATGTTAAGGTGATGTGATGGTAGTTGTTGAAGGGGAATTAATGGCAAAGTTACTTCTTCCTTTCTCCTTCCAAATCCGGCCATGATTTAGGGGATTGAACCAAAAATTTGGTTGATTGAAGGAGTTGATGTGATGTTAAAAAATGATTTCCAAGTTGTCTATAAAATGAACCAACATAGGATAAGCTTCATTTTTTTTCTCCTAGCTTTTTCCCCAATCAAAAATCCGGCCATAACACCCATTTCCTCTCAAATATTTTCTTCCACTCTCCCAATCTTGAGCCACTAGCAAACCATAGAAGAAGAAGAAAGAGATCAAAGGGTCTAGGAGGAGACTAATCAAGCATTCCTCCAAGGGTAAGGAAACTCTAAACCCTCTCTTTTTATGTTCTAGTAAAGTTTGAGATGTAGAACTATTCTTCTCAAATTTCTTTATACTCTTATAGTTTCAAGCCATTAACAATCTTAGAGGAGTTCAAAGGCTTATCAAGAGAGAGAGAGTTCTTCAAGGGTAAGTTCTTAAACTCTTCTCCATTGATTTCTAGCAAACTTTACGCTTGGATTTATGGATGTAAATTTATGGTCCTTGAGGAGATAAGATTGTAATAAGGGTGTGTGAGTTTTATGTTGGTTTTGTGAGTTATGAGGCTAGTTTGATGTGGTATGCTTATGCTCGATTTAAGTTTACTTATTTTCGGTTAGAGAGAAAAATTTCTGGTTACTTTGAACACGGGAGTGAGAACCCTAGAACAAGATTTTTAGGTGTTCCAAAGCTTGAACTTATAGCCCTTAATGTTTTGAACATTTTCTGTGGCTGTAACAAAACCTCATTTTAACTCTAAATACAAGTTTTAAGCCATTTTTCGAAAACAACACAAGCAGTCCAAAACAGTTTTGGGAACAAAACTGGTTCAGCCAAACGAGACCTTTAGAGGTTGAATCTCGATTTTTCATAAAAATAAAAATTTTAGATTTCAACGAGACAAAGAACTTTCATGAAGGACAGATTTTCAAAATCTGACCCTAAGATATAGTAAAACACCGATTTCCTAAATGACACAGTTTTTGGACTAAAACAGTTTCAAAAAAAAAAACAGCGGCCAATGTTCTCAGTTAAACGAGGCCTTTAGAGGCTGAATTTCAACTTTCTCTAAAAACGATAATTTTAGATCTCGACGAGTTAAAGAATTATTGTGAAGAACATATTTTCAAAATCCAACTCTAAGATGTAGTGAAATGCAGATTTCAGAAACTGTACACTTTTGACAAAACGAAACTAAAACAGTGACGTTTTTAACAAAAGGTTATCAAAGAACCCGAGATGTGATTTTAGTAAAATAATATGGTTTTAGACCTCGCTTTAATGAGGAATAGCCATGAAGAAAGATTTCAGAAAAGGGTTTCTACAACATAGTTTTACGGTGGTTTACAAGTCAATTGTAAAACGACTTGGGGAATAGTTTTCAAAAGTCGATATTCGAAAAGAGATTTTACAACGGGATTTTAGTGCTTGTAACTAAATGAGTGAGTTATCATTTTATAAAAATCGAATGATAGTTCTTTTAAAAGCTTCATAGTTTTCGAGCAAAACATCCCGACAGGCACTTACAAGCCCAACACGATAGGTCCTTAGAATTTTGATGATTTGATGTGGGTCCAACGCCCGCATTAATTTAAGAGACTCCGTTAGAGTTTAAATTTCAACGGCCTAAGAGCTAGAATGCCGTGAATAAGTTTCTAGGCCGAATTGGGCCTTAATAATATAATGAGTCCAATGAGGAAAAATTATGGAGAATACGTTACTAGATTGGGTAAATGATTTTCAACCTAGGCATAAGTATGCTAAGGGCAATTAAGGAAAATAAGATTTTGAGGATTTAATAAATTGATCCTTATAGTAAATTATCCTTCAGTAAAGGAAAGGAATACATGCCTTAAGTAAAGGGCTGGATTTCCTTCATAAGCTGAATCTCGCCTACAGTATGAATAGATTTTTAAAGAAAAAGTTACACATGTTATATATGCATGTTTATGCTTTAAGTATTGTATGCGATGCTATGTCATGCTGCATACACATAAGCAGCGCACATGAATTATATGTGTTTGAGTTAATTTAATGTTATGTATATTACGCTAGATCATACTGCATACACTTAAACAGTGCACATGAAGTATATGTGTTTGAGTACATTCCATGTTATAGTATGCTATGTTATGTCATATTGCATACACCTTAATAAGTCAAGAG